TAGATTAAGAATGAAGTTATTCCGCTCTGAAAGGCTTTCCAAAACTCCAAACTACACACCTGTGCCTAATTTCCATTAATATTTCATCCTCCACACCAACGGTTTTAATCCAATTCCACACCTAGCTTTGAAAAAAAAAATATCGATACTCTCGTCACCCAACAGACAAATGAGAGCGGAATGGAGTGGTGTTGGCGGAGCGAGAGGAGAATTCAATCCCCAATTTCATATCACTTATAACGGCTTACAGGCTCTTGAATGGCTTAACCTGAGACCGCTGTCACTCCACACTTTGGGCGGGTGAGAGAGCGCGGGAAATCCATTTTATTATTATTGTTGGTGTTGTTATCTTCCTTTTTAGTTATGGTGATTTTAGAAATGTTATTTTGCTTTGTCGTTGTTATATCGTTGTTATTGTTTTTGATGTTTCTTTTTTTTGTGTTACTATTGTTGTTGGTATTATTACCATTAGTATTATTGCTATTATCATTATTGTTATTGTCACTCATCATTATTATAATTACTATCATTATTGCTATTATTATCATTATTGTTATTATTACAAACATCATTACTATTATCCTTATTTTTATATATCATCATCATCATTATCATTATCTTTATTATTATTATCATCATCAGTATCAAAATCATCAATATCATCATTTCTATTATTATCATGACTACTGGTATTATTATTAACATTACCATTCCTAATATCAATGCCATGTTTTTTCATTATAATCAATACAATAAATCATCATTAGCAACGTTATTTCTTTGTCCTTTTCCTTATAACAATTGAATTATTAAATGATTTTCCCTAAAAGAACCGATAACAATATCTTCAACACAAAATATTTCCGTTACATTCAGTTAAAAAAGAAAAAAAACATTTATCAGCTACATCCACTCACACTCTTTTTTTTCTTCTTCCCTTTTTTCGTCTCTTTACCTTCAGATTCTTGCGCGCGATAAGCCCTATCTTATCGCCGAGATAGAGGCGGCGGTCCCTCTGTTTGGCGTCGCGATCTTTGGCTGTCCTCGCTCGCCTCTGACCCCCGGCGGAGATGCTCGTCAAGGAGTTGTGAGTTTTTGGCCAAAGGAGCTTTTGTTTCTTAGATGGGGAGGTTGTGTGTGTGTGTGTGTGTGTAGTTTTGTATGTGTATTTATATATATGTGTGTGTCTAGACGTGTGTGTATATGTACATATATATTTATGTATGTATATATATATATCGATATGCATATATATAAATATATATATATATAATATATATATATATATATATATATATATATATATATTTATATGTATATTATGCACACACACACACACACACACACACACACACACACACACACACACACACACACACACACACATATATATATATATATAGTATATATATATATATATATATATATATATATATATACTAGCCACACAATCATAGACATATATATATATATATATATATATATATATATATATATATATATATATATATATATATATCTTTGTGAGTATGTGATCATAATGATTCCTATAATTCCAATACAAAGCGACGGTAGGCAAAGAGTCCAGCATTTTCTCTCCGATCAGCATCCCTGTTGTGAACATGTCTGTCACTGTTACAAAGCATAACATGAACGGAGATGATTGGCGGCTGTTATGGTGTTATTTGTCTGATCAACATCCCATGATTATCCTCAGCATATTTGTTATTGTTATTGTTGTTATTGTTGTTGTTTTTATTGTTATTGTTGCTGTATTGTTATTGTTTGCTGTTGTTATTGTTATTGTTTGCTGTTGTTATTGTTATTGTTGCTGTTGTTATTGTTAATTGTTATTGTTATTGTTATTGTTGCTGTTGTTATTGTTATTGTTGCTGTTGTTATTGTTATTGTTGCTGTTGTTATTGTTATTGTTATTGTTGCTGTTGTTGTTATTGTTGTTGTAATTATTACCTTCGTTAAAATCATCAATACAGACATTATTGTCATTATTCTTATTTTTTTCTATATCTTATTTTTATTATCGTTAAATATCATTATTATCAAACTATCATCATAGTTTAGATTATTACTATGTCTTGTTTTCTTCATTATTAATATCATTATTATCAAACTACTAGCATGATCTTTTTTCATTATTGTTAATATCAATATTGCAGTTTTACTATGTCTTTTTTATTACTGTGAACATCATTATTATCAAATCACCATGATTACAGCAATTTTACTATTTTTTCATCATCATTAATATAATTATCATGAAATTACTGATTTTTTCATCATTATCAATAATTAAATCATCAAATTACCATCATTACTACAATTTTATTTTTCATTATTGTTAAATTATCATTTAATTAAGCGTTATTGTGGCTACTGTCATTATCTGATATTATCATTATCTCATTATCATTATCATTGCTACCCTCAATTATCATTAGCAATGATACTATATTTTGCTGTGATTACTATTATCATTATTGCTGTGATTACTACTACTACATTATTGCTGTGATTACTATTATCATTATTGCTGTGATTACTACTATCATTATTGCTGTGATTATCATTATTGCTGTGCTTAACTACTATCATTATTGCTGTGATTACTACTATCATTATTGCTGTATTTATACTATTATTTTTGTGATTACCATTATCATTACCATTATTATCTCCATTCTTTATATGACTTTAAAACATGTATTATCATTATTAGTATTATGATTACCATTATGATAACCATCATGATTACATATTTGTTAGTGCTGTTGTAATTATTAGCACGACTATGATGTCTATGATCATCATTATCATCATCATCATCATTCTCACTTTTCCTGGTATAAAAGTTATCGTTTAAGATCATCATAATTATCACTATTTAAAATTACTGATCTAGGTGTTCCATTTTCTTTCTTTCTTTCTTTCTTTTTATCATATCAGTAATATTAAAACTGTCAGTATTATAGTCATTATTACCTGATTTCTACAATTTTTTTCTAATTCTACTTTCTTGTCCCTGTCATTCTTCCTTCCTTCATCTCCTCTTCCTTCTGATTATCAGGTTTATTACCATATTCCTTAATTTGGTTCCTTTTATTGCTATCGTTTAATTCCCTCTTCATTCTTGCTTTATTTATTCTCCTCTTTCTTTCCTTTCAGCCGAGTGATGCTTCCGCTGACGGTGGAGGAGGTAGAGAGAGAGAGAGAGAGAGAGAGAGAGAGAGAGAGAGAGAGAGAGAGAGAGGAGAGAGAGAGAGAGAGAGAGAGAGAGAGAGAGAGAGAGAGAGAAGAGAGATAAATAGATAGATAGAGAGAGAGAGAGACTTAAAATTTGATTTCAAACTGTTAAGTAAATCTCAATAATTTCCATTTTCGCATTTTATAAAGGGAAATATACACCCAAAATTCGCTTTCCTAAACATCTGATGATCATATATCTAATTCTTATGGTGGCTTTAATATGTACCCTTCCCCCCACCTCCCCCCCCTATCTGCCACCATCGACAGCCAGGAAATTAACTTTGTTCTTATTATCTGAACACCGAACGAAAATGCGGTTAAACCCATGTATTTTTTTTTCTTATAATTTTTTTTTTTTTTTTTGTATATAATTTGTTTCGTAATGTTTCCTTTTTATTTCATTTTCTATCTTCTTTCATTTATATTTCGTATCATTTTTATTCGATCATTTCTTTTTCTTTATTTTATTTTCGTATGATTTTTTATTCGATTTTTTTTTTCGTATCATTTTATTCGATCTTATTTCATTTTTTTTTATTTAATCTTATTATTTCTTGCACCCTTTTTATCTCATTATCATCTCTTTCTTTATATCACATTATCTCATCGCCACTTTCTCGGAAGGCCAGAATTTAAACTCACATTGTTTTTTTTTTCTTCTTCTATTCTTTCTTTTTTTCTTCTTCTATTACTTCTTTCTTTTTCTTTTCTTGTTTTTTTCTTCTTCTATTATCTTCTTCTTCTTCTCTTTCTTTTCTTTTTCTTCTTCTTTTCTATTCTTCTTTCTTTTTCTTGTTCTTCCTTTCCTCTTTTTTTTTTTCGTCTTTCTCCTTCTTCTTTCTCTCTCTTCTTTTTCTTTCTTCTTCTATTACTTCTTTCCTTATCTTCTTTTCTATTACTTCTTTTCTATTTTTTTCTTCTTCTTCTTCTATTACTTCTTTTTTCTTCTCCTTCTATTAATCTTTTTTCTTTCTTTTTCTTCTTTTCTTCTATTCCACTTACTTCTTTTTTCTTCTTTACTTCTTTCTCTTCTTCTTCTTCTTTTCTATTACTTCTTTCTTTTTCTTCTTCCTTCTTTCTTTTTCTTCTTCTTCTTCTTTCTTTTTCTTCTTTTCTTCTTCTTCTTTTACTTCTTTCTCTTTCTTCTTCTTCTTGTTACTTCTTTCTTTTTCTTCTTCTTCTACTTCTTTCTGTATTTCTTCTCTTCTTCTTTTAATTTCTTCTTACCGAAATTCATCATCCTTTTTTTTAAACCACGCTCTCGAATGGTCAGATTTCAACCAAACCTTTTTTCTTCCCTTCATTGAGAGAGAGAAGAGAGAGAGAGAGAATGGAGAAGAAGAGAGGGAGAGAGAGAGAGAGAGAGAGAGAGAGAGAAAGAGAGAGAGAGAGAGAGAGAGAGAGAGAGAGAGAGAGAGAGAGAGAGAGAGAGAGAGAGAGAGAGAGAGAGAGAGAGAGAGAGAGAGAGTGAGAGAGAGAGAGAGAGAGAGAGAGAGAGACGAGAGAGCAGCAGAGAGACGAGAGAGAGAGAGAGAGAGAGACAGACAGAACAGAGAGACAGATACCAGAACAGATACAGACAGATCAAAAGGGTGAAACTTCAAATCCCTCTCCCCGACACCAAATCCAGCATGCCACAAAGCATCTTCCCATCCTTAACCTCCTCATCTAATAAGGCTGCTCTCACCCCTCCCTAATTTTTCTCTCTCTCTCTCTCTCTCCCTACCAGTACCACC